ACCCCACCCGCTGAAAATACAAGCCCGGCCTGGACGCTCCATGTGTGGTAACGCGCTCTGCCGCTGCCACGCTATTTAAACACCGGCTATGGATCCAGGAACCCGCGCGAATCAATGAGATCAAACGCGAAGGAGATGCACGTCAATTACAAGCACTTGGACAAGTCTAACTTTTTTTTTCTTTTACAAATAACGCCTTCTAAAGCGACCTTAACAACGCCCAAATAAGAAGCCATCTCTAAGCAAAATAGCATATGTCTAAAGGGAGGGCGAATATATATACATATTTATAATAAGTATATGTGTATATTAGAGACGCACAGGTTTACACTCGGTGAACTTTTTTGAAAAAAAAAAAAACTAGTGACATTGCAGAGGAGCCTTCTTCTTTATCTTTTGGCGCGTTAGCGAAGGGGGGATTCTGTTTTCTTGGAGCGCCCAAGGGGGCGCAGGGACCTCGGCAAGAAGAGTGGGGAGGGACGAGCAAGGGTGGGTGGGTGGCAGAGGGCGAGTCGGCAAGGCTAGGGCTGTGTCGCGGCGCGATGCGGTCGGTGCGGGTGCTCACTTGGTCTGCGTGCGTGCTGCTGGCGGGGGCGCTGCTGGCTGGCGGAGCGGGTGGCGGCCGCGGGGGCGCGGGCCCAGGTGGCGGGCGGCGCGCGCGGGAAGTGCTGCCGCCGCAGAAGATCGAGGTGCTGGTGCTGCTGCCCCGGGACGACTCCTACTTGTTCTCGCTCGCCCGGGTGCGGCCGGCCATCGAGTACGCGCTGCGCAGCGTGGAGGGCAACGGCACCGGGCGGCGGCTACTGCCCGCCGGCACTCGCTTCCAGGTTTCCTATGAAGACTCGGACTGCGGCAACCGCGCGCTCTTCAGCCTGGTGGATCGTGTCGCCGCGGCCCGCGGCGCCAAGCCTGACCTGATCCTGGGGCCCGTGTGCGAGTACGCGGCAGCGCCGGTGGCTCGGCTCGCGTCGCACTGGGACCTGCCCATGCTGTCTGCGGGAGCGCTGGCTGCCGGCTTCCAACACAAGGACTCTGAGTACTCGCACCTCACGCGCGTGGCTCCTGCCTATGCCAAGATGGGCGAGATGATGCTCGCCTTGTTCCGCCACCACCACTGGAGCCGCGCTGCCCTGGTCTACAGCGACGACAAACTGGAGCGGAACTGCTACTTCACCCTCGAGGGGGTCCACGAGGTTTTCCAGGAGGAGGGCTTGCACACATCTGCCTACAATTTCGACGAGACCAAAGATTTGGACTTGGACGACATAGTGCGCTACATCCAGTCCAGCGAGCGAGGTGAGCAGGAGTGCGAGCCAGGCCCCTGGCCCTGAGCCAGCCCTTGTCCGCGGTTGTCCCCACTTTACGATTCAGCCTTCTGCGGGTGAGGTCAGCAGCCCCGGGCGTTCAGGATCAGAGGAGGGTGCGCGCGGGGACTGGCTCATGTGTGCGCTGCTTGGGCGTCATGCGGGGTGAGGATGACCATCGTGGTCGAGGGCTCTGCCTAGGGGGACCTGGGGAGGTGGACTGGGCCAGAATAGGGAACCGCTGAGCTGACTGCAGCCATGTGTCCAGGTATGACAGGTGTTGTCAAATACCAAGGGTGTTTCCTCCTCCATACCCTCCTCGACAACCCCAGGGTCCCAAGCGTTCCCGGGCAGAAAGAACTTGTTACCGGGTCGCTGGTGGTGTGCGCCTCCAGTTAGTGCCGCAGCGTTTGCGGAAGCTCTGCAGCCACGCGCTGCCCCTTGTCTAACTGGGGGAGGGGGGTGTCTCCTGGTTTCCTTGGCTGCTCTTTCCACAGACCCCAGGTTTCTTTAAAAGGCTCGTTGTATTACTCGTCTCATTTCGTTGCATGCCCCTTCTAGTCCCTTATAAACAAGCTTCTGTGGTTTCCTCCTAAAATGCCTGGCAGTGTCTGGACTCAGGCGACACTCATTTCCCCTGGCGCGTTCGGCGTCGCCGCTTCTGAAAGTGCGCAGATCTGGGCTTTGCAGGAGCGCGCCCTTTTGAATCCCGCATGGATCCTCCTTCCCACCGGTCCCCCACCTGGGTTTGCTCCTCGAGTCTCTAGGGGTTTGGAGTAACACCTAAACTAACTCAGGGGATCAAGACTTGGGATTGTGACTATGGCTGGGAGCGTCTGATGGTGGATAGGTAATCGCTGAAGCCCCCACCACGGCCCATATTTGGTAGGGTAGACTGTGGGAAGACGCGCTGAGATTCCAGCACAGTGCATTTCACTCCTGCACGCTGTCGCGGTTGGGGTGCACAAAGTTCAGGGAATCCCGCCTCTGCTTCCCGTACGCAGGCGCCTGGAATGTCAGTGTTATAATCCAGGAGAAGCTTCCCACGCCCTTAGTGCTACCCCAGTGAGACCCGAGGGAAGGAAGCGGGGCAAAGCTGCACAAGGCTTGTCCGCGATTTAGGTGGTCAGGGACCTGAGCCTGGCTGTCGCGGGACAGCGCAGCATAAGACTGGGAGGTTTCGAACAGGTGATAATGGGCAGAGAAAGCTTGGGGGTGGCGCCACAGAGACCCCTTTTCCTAATTTGGCCACCTGGAACTAAAGTGAACACGCCCTTTGGAGCGAAGATGTAGAGGTGTAGACAGTGGAACTCTCGGCAAGTTTTGAGCATTAAAGAACTCTAGGCTGTCCATGAGGAAGGCTTGGCAGCTACGCAGGCAGGGCGCCGTCCTTGCTGATTGTGAAAAAAGACATCTGTGTCCTACTGCCAAAACAGGGCGAGAAACTCTACTTCTTCCCACTGTCAGTCCTCTTATTACCGCAGCTTCTTGCTGACCTCTTGCGGGTTTGCCCCACCCACCCCGTTGCCCCAGGAGCCCGTTTCTTCCGGTCTGGGCTTACAGAACTAGAGCTAAAAGTTGGAGATTTTCTAGGGCAGGCTGGGGATGGGGGTGTGTCCCCCTCCTGGCAAGATCAGAGGTTTGCAAACTCTGTCATTGCTGCGGTCGCTTTGTTGATCCCAGAGAGGCTGTGACCTTGCCGCAGTGGCCTAGGATAAAGGCCTAGGGTATCTGTCTGTACAGATGAGGGCAGATCTTGCCTGTAGGGCTCCTCAACCTGGAGCTGGGAGGGCCACAGCCTGGTAATGGGCTTTTAGGGGTGGTTGTGCCCTGGCTTTAGAAGACTCCAGCTCGCATTTTGCTACTACTGTATTTTTAAATGCTCTAAGCTTGGCAAACATTCTCAGGTTTCTTCTCTTTTTCTTCCCATTTAGTGACAAAAGTTTGGTAGACTGGTGTGTGTGTATTTTACAGCTGATAAGGTTATGATTTTATGATTTTTACTCTACAATCTGCCTCCAACAGTGACCTGGCAAATTTTCAGAAATATGAATCAAAATAGTCGTCTCTCCAGGCTGCTCTCCTCTCAGTTCCTTACTCTCTGGAGAGATAGTTGCTTGATAACAAAGCTCTGAGAGGATTTCCTTCTAATAGACCCAAAGTCTTGACTTCACCATCATCAATAAGGCTAAATAGGGGTTCAGTGTGTGGTTTCAGTAGAGTTTGTGCCTCGTTCACTACCTGGCAGGATCATGGGCTATAAAACTGTACTCCAGGCCCTGCAGATAAAGTGAAAGTCCTGGAGCATCCATATCTCTGGTGTGCTCAGAGGGTTTAATGAGCTAAGCCACCAGAATTTGCTGAAACAATACAGATCCATGCAATGGAGTAAATGTGTGGCGTATTGCAGTGGGTGTAGTTTCATTTATGATAATAATCACTTTCAAGGAGAAGGGAAGACCATGCCCCAGGCAAGAAACATGGGCTTCGAGGCACACACCTCTGGATGCAATGTCTCTACTCAGTGGCTTCCTGCCTGTGCAAGAGACTGAATGAACTTGAGCCTGTTTCTTCTGTGAAATGAGCAGGATGAGAATCAGGCCACTTCCAACTGAGAGTCTGTGGTCCTGATTTGCATTCACCCAAATGTAAAAATGTAACGGACACTATTTCTGTCTCTATTATGAATTATGAATAAGAGCCTGCTTTAGAGAGCCCCTCCAACCCTTGGGAGGCAGAGGCAGGCAGTTATCTGTGAGTTCAAGGCCAGCCTGGTCTACATAGTGAGTTCCAGGACAGCTGGGGCTACAGGGAGACCCTATCTCAAAAAGATAAAAAAAAAAAGGAAAAATAAAAAGAACAGTTCAACTTTAAAATCAAATTATGAATATTTGATTGTCTTCCACTGCTTAAAAAGTGACCATGCTGCTAGCTCAAATAATTAATGTACTAAATTTTCTTTTGGCTATACAATGCTTTATAGAAAGAAAAACTAAGGGAAATTAATTATTATTACTTGCTAGGGAATCTACCATCGAAGTCAACAATTTAAAAACATTAAAGAGCTAATATAATCAAAACACATAGACCTGAGTATATGTGATTAAAAAATAATGCTTTTACAGCATGCATTTATACTAGTGGCTAAGGTGGCATAAGATTCAATCTCAAGTTCCAGGTATGAGGTAATAGAAAGTTTCTCAAGAACTAGCCTCAGATAGCCTTGAGAACTGGGTAACATGAGGTGAGATTTCATAAGGGCCTGTTGTGGACATGATTCACATTACAAGATGATGACTACTATTGGTGATATTATCAATTTTTATCTGTGTGTGTGGGGGAAAGAAGTAGAGAATAATGGGTAGCTAATTTTGAACACTCAAGTCTTTTCATAAGGTTTCTGTGTTTTTTAAGATTTATTTTTATTTTATGTGTATGAGTGTTTTGCCTAAATGTATGTAAGAGTACCATGTGTGTACAATGCCCACAGAAGTCAGAAGAGAGCATCAGACCCCCTGGAACTAGAGTTACGGATGGTTGTAGCTGCTGTGTGGGTACTGGCAACTGAACCTGGGTCTTCTGCAAGAGCAGCCAGTGTTCTTAACTGTTGAGCCATCTCTCCAGGCCCAGGTCTCTGTGTTTGATTCTAGATAAATTTGAATTGTAGGGGTGAGATTATCATCTTTCTCAGGAACTCTGAAGAAAACTGGACAGATGACTCCTCAGGCAGGGGACTATGCCATGCCAATCTTTTCTATTCAGGATTTATCTGTTTCAAGTACTGAAGATATTCCAAAAACACTTTAGGAAATTAATGTGCTTGGCAGAAAAAAATAAAGATCTTAGCTAGGTGTGAGAGCATATGCCTCTAATCCCAGCATTCTGAAGGCTGAGATAAAAGAACTGTGAGTTCAAGGTCAACTTGGGCTATAGAATGAGACCTTGTCCCAAAGCTCAATAAAGAAACAAGCCAGGTGTGGTAGCACACACCTTTAATCCCAGCACTCTGGAGGCAGAGGCAGGAGGATCTCTGTGAGTTCAAGGCCAGCCTCGTCTACATAGTGAGTTCCAGGCCAGCTGGGGCTATAGGAAAACCTTGTCTCAAAAAAACAAAAACAAAACCAAAAAAAACCCAACCCCCCCTAAAACCTAACAAAAGAAAAGGCTTTTTATTTAAGACTGGATTCACTTATATAGCTGACTATTGACTAGATATTCCATACTAGATGACAAATTTACCATTAAAAAGATAGAAATAAAATTTTCAGTCAGTGAAAGCTCATAGCTTTTTTTGTTTATGTGCCTTGTAAAAGATCTAGAAATAACCTATACGCAAACATTTTTGTATGAAGTAATACAGTTTCATTCTTTTAGTTATTAATATGCCATTCATCTGGGCCTGTGTAATGACAACAGAGATGAAGTATTTAATACAAGAATGACTTATTTTTAGTTGTCTGGCATGAATGACCAAGTGGTTGGTCAGCAGAAGTTTAAAGCAAAGAACCCATCATAAATCTAACTAACACGCAGCTCAGGAAAACAGAAGCAGGGTAGACTGTTCAATCAAGAGGCTTTGGAACAAAGCTTCCAGAAAACAGAAGTAAGGGCAGAGTCTGCATTTTGCAGATGATATCTTTTGCTTTGGAAACACAGAAACCTTTTTTGGAAAGAAATTAGATTTTATTTTTACCCAAATTAATTATACAGCTATGTAAAGCCCGAAGATGGTGTGTTTTCTCTGGAAGAAGTTTCTTGTCTCTTACTCCTCACTCCACCATTCCTAACACTTGTAGCTGTTCCATAGCTCTCTGCCTTCAGACTTCCAAATTAACATGCTACTTTTTAGTTTTTTCATTTTCACGTTTTATCTCTTAGAACCCCAGTGAAAACGATTGAGTTCTCTTTGACCATCTGTTAACTACATGCAAGTTTTCCTTCTGTTCATCAAACTTTTGCTTAGTACAGTATTCAGTACTGTATATAGTTGAG